GGTGTACTCGGGGGGCAAACACTGGTTCGCGGCAGGGTAGTAGCACCCGTTGCAGTTGCCGCAACCGTTGTTCTGGGACGTGGTCGGGGTCGGCTTGGTCGTGGGGGTCGGCTTGGTCGTAGGGGTCGGCTTGGTCGTCGGGGTCGGGGCGCTGTCGATCCGCGGGAACACGACGTCTTCGGCGACGTTGCACATGCCGAGGCCAGAGACGCCGCGGCGCAGACGGATGTGGCCGGCCTCGCCCCAGCTGGCGCCCCACGAGTTGCGGATCTTGTACGACGTGCCGTCGTACCCCACGGCGACGACGGCGTGGTCCGAGTACGACCCAGGGCATTGCGTCACGACGCCGGACCGGTAGTTTTGCCACACAGGGTTGCCCGCCTCCACCAGCACCGACACTGGCTGCGTGTTGAGCGCCGTGTCCAGCGCGGCCTCGCCCGACGTGCGGACCGTCGCGCCGATGCTGAGCTGCCTCTTCGTGCACGAGTTGCTGTTGCACGTGCCGGTTTGACTCGTGCTGCCCGACGTGTACGGGTAGTCGCGCTCCAAGCAGAGCCCAGTCGTCGACACGTACGTCAAGGCGGCGTACGGCCACCCGCCGTTGCACCCCGCGCTGCCACTCGCCGTGGAGCAGCTCGTCACCTGCTGCTCCGACAGGTCGAGGAGCTCTCCCGTCACGATGCAGTGCGCTGGCTCCGCCGCACCCACGGACGAGAAGGCCCAGCACGACCCGCACTGGCCTTGGTTGCGCACGGGGTTGATGCATCGGCCGGTGGTCCAGTCCACCGTGGCGGCTTTGACGCTGGTCGTGTTGAGGTCGGCCGCGGGGAGCGATCGGACCGAGGCGACGCCCTCCTTGAGAGATACGCCCTCCACGAACTTCTTGAACTCGGCTTGCGTCATCAAGGCATACGGGTGGTTGTTGTCGAACGTCGCTTCAGGGTTGTTGCGGCGGGCCTCTTCGATCGCGAGCTTGTTGTCGTAGAACCGCTGGAGGGCGTCCTGTTCGGCGTCGAGGGGGGACATGCTCTTGGCGGCGCGGGGCAACAGGCCCTCCGCCGCGGCGGTGGCCCCAAACGCTTGGCGCCACGCAGCCAGCTCGGCGCGCAGCTGGTCGCGTTGGTCCACCGACAGGGTGCTCACGGACTGCTTGGATGCGGCCGCGGACGCAGCGACGAGGGCGACAATCAACTTCATGGTAGACGACAGGAGTTGAACGCAAATTCAGATGTGACGACGAACAAAGCTGTCCAGGCTTGTTACCTCCATGATATTTCCTGTGGTTGATAAGTCTGTGTAGGCAAGACGCGTGAGGCCGACGAAGCCGGCCCAGCACTGCTGGAAGTCTGAGACACCAATAGGCTGCGATTCATCTGATTTGCTTCGTCCCTGAGTCTGAGCCTCACGTATGTGCTTGATTCCATCCATGAATTCTTGGTTTTTGCAAAGGATTTTCGCCTTACCAAGAGCGTACTCTTCATTTCGTGACCGAATGTCTGAACACATTTGTATGGTCTCCATACTTCACAAGAGGTGAGAATCGCTCCTGTTTGGTGTCGTATTTGGCTGCGGACAACATCGCAATTGGCACGAATTCGATCCATTTGACAACGGCATACTCGAGGACATGGGACGTCGTCAGTGATGGGGTTTTACTTTTCTCGCCTTTCAAGTGCGAATTCATCTTTCGTGAGACGTCACCGTGGACGGTGCTAAGGCCAGTATTATAGATTCTCCGTAGGTCGCACAGCTAAGCAAGCGTAACGACAAGTGGTCGTTCTCTTTGGTTCATTGTGATGGCCCAGTGTTCCGTCATCGAATTCGTTGCTGGTCCAGCTTTATCCTCACCATATATCACTAGATGTTGTTTCCGCGAGGGTCTACTGAGGGGAGGCACTGCTGTGTCTAGAAATTGTCGAAGCTCGGATATGTCTTGGTCGGTTTGGAGCGGCGAGGGACGTTGAGGTCCGTAGATTACGATCGGATGCCTCTAGTAAGAATCAGATGAGGAAGACTATCGAATGGGTGTCACCCACTTTCAGTCAATGAGGGAATCGACAAAATTCCCCATGAATCGACTCCCATCCAGTGGGTGGGACGCTTTTACATATATTTGGCATGCTGGAGCTGGCCGGCAACAAACCGGATCTGAATTGCATCAGAACTTACCCATCATACAGAACTTCTGCCATACTTCACACGATCTCTCCACGGTTCTACGCCGTAGCTGCGTACATATATGCATACATGTGCGAAAGAGGGATCCGCAATCCCGTCCGAGCTTTGTTCGTCGTCACATCTGAATTTGCGTTCAACTCCTGTCGTCTACCATGAAGTTGATTGTCGCCCTCGTCGCTGCGTCCGCGGCCGCATCCAAACAGTCCGTGAGCACCCTGTCGGTGGACCAACGCGACCAGCTGCGCGCCGAGCTGGCCGCGTGGCGCCAAGCGTTTGGGGCCACCGCCGCGGCGGAAGGTCTGTTGCCCCGCGCCACCAAGAGCATGTCCCCCCTCGACGCCGAACAGGACGCCCTCCAGCGGTTCTACGACAACAAGCTCGCGATCGAAGAGGCCCGCCGCAACAACCCTGAAGCGACGTTCGACAACAACCACCCGTATGCCTTGATGACGCAAGCCGAGTTCAAGAAGTTCGTGGAGGGCGTGTCTCTCAAGGAGGGCGTCGCCTCGGTCCGATCGCTCCCCGCGGCCGACCTCAACACGACCAGCGTCAAAGCCGCCACGGTGGACTGGACCACCGGCCGATGCATCAACCCCGTGCGCAACCAAGGCCAGTGCGGGTCGTGCTGGGCCTTCTCGTCCGTGGGTGCGGCGGAGCCAGCGCACTGCATCGTGACGGGAGAGCTCCTCGACCTGTCGGAGCAGCAGGTGACGAGCTGCTCCACGGCGAGTGGCAGCGCGGGGTGCAACGGCGGGTGGCCGTACGCCGCCTTGACGTACGTGTCGACGACCGGGCTCTGCTTGGAGCGCGACTACCCGTACACGTCGGGCAGCACGAGTCAAACCGGCACGTGCAACAGCAACTCGTGCACGAAGAGGCAGCTCAG